AACCACAATGAGATTCTACTTTGTGGTCCACTAAGATGGCTATTTAAGGCAGAGAAAAAACAAAAAATAAGAAATGTTGGCAAGGACGTGGAGAAATAGAACAAGAATACACTGCTGTTATGCTCAGAGCTTGTAGCACAGTGGTTATGGTGCCAGCCACATACACCAAGGCTGGCGGGTTCTAACCCGACCCAGGCCTGCTAAACAAGAATGACAACTGCAACAAAAAAATGGCCGGGTGTTGTGGTGGGCGCCTATAGTCCCAGGTGCTTGGGAGGCTGAGGCAAGAGAATCGCTTAAGAGCCCAGGAGTTTGAGGTCGCTGTGAGCTGTGATGCCACCACACTTCACGGAAGACAAGTGAGACTCTGTCTGGGGTGGGCAGGGGAGGGGGAAAGGAGAGGAAAGAATACACTGCCAGTAGAAACGTAAAATGGTATAGCTACAATGGAAAAGTTTGGCATTTCCAAACTATTAAATATAGAATTATCATATGATCCACCAATTAGACTCCTGAACATACACACCCAAAAGAATTGAAAACAGGAACTCAAACAGATACTTGTACACTAATGTTTATAACAGCATTTTTGTGATAATAGCAAAAGGTAAAAACAATCTAAGTGTTCTGCAACAAATGAATTAAGATGTAAAATGTATCACATACATGGGATGGAATATTACTCAATCTTTAAAAGGATACATGGCAAAACATAAATGAACCTTGAAAAGATTATGCTAAGTGAAGCAAGCCAGACAAAAAGGGACAAATGATGTACGATTCCACTTAAACAAAGTAGGAGTAGATAAAAGAAAATAGAATAGAGGTTACTAAGGGCTGGGGTTGCGGGGATGAGTTATTGTTTAATATAAAGAGTAAGTCTGAGATGATCAGAAAAAGTTCTGGGAATAGACAGTGGTGATGGTTGTACAATATTGTGAATATACTTAATGCTACTAAATTGTTTAAAGTTAACTTAACCTAGCTTAAAAATAGCTAAAGTAGAGCCAAGTGCAATGGCTTACTTTTATAATTGTAGCACCTTGGAAGGCCAAGGTGGGAGAACTGCTTGAGGCCAGGAGTCTGCAACCAGTATGGGCAACATAATGAGACTGGATATCTACTCAAAAACTTTCAAAATTAGCTTGGCATCACAGTGCATGCCTGTAGTCCTAGAGACTCAGGATGCTGAAGAGGGCAGGACTGCTTGAGCATAGGCATTGAAGGTTGTAGTGAGCTCCGATCCACCACTACACTCCAGCTTGGGTGACAGAGCAAGACCCTGTCTTCATTAAAAAAAAAAAAAAAAAAGTGGTCAGGCACGCTCGGCTCACACCTGTAATCCCAGAACTCTGGGAGGCTTAGGCAGGTGGATTCCTTGAGCGCAGGAGTTTGAGACCAACTTAAGCAAGAGCAAGATCTTATCTCTAAAAATAGCCGGGTGTTGTGGCAGGAGTCTGTAGTCCCAGCTACTTGGGAGGCTGAGGCAAGAGAATTACTTGAGCTTAGGAGTTTGAGGTTGCTGTGAGCTATGATGTCACAGCATCTACCCAGGGTGACAGAGTGAGACTCTGTTTTAAAAAAAAAAACAAAACAAAAAACAGGGCGGCACTTGTGGCTCAAAGGAGTAGGGCGTCGGCCCCATATGCTGGAGATGGTGGGTTTAAATCCAGCCCCGGCCAAAAACTGCAGGAAAAAAAAAAAGAAAGAAACAAAAAACCCCTGCTAGAATTAGAAATATAATATGCAAATTTAAAATATGTTCCTATAAAACAATATTCATGTTCAAGAAGGCACAAATAGATTCTTACAATTAATGAAACAATAATCAAATTTGAAAATTAACCTAACAATGCAATGAAATCTTGACCAATATCCTAACAGTATCTTTTGTGGAATAAGCTGAGCCTAAATTTTATATGGAAATGTAAAAGGTCGAGAGAAAAAATGGCTGTTTGGCTATTCTTTGTAGAAGAATCTCAGACGCTCTGCTGTGTCCAAGTTGTTAATAACTCCTCAGGTCCCCACCAGCACAGGTTGCAGGCTTTCTCTCAGTTTGTTGCTGAAGAATACACCAGATGTCACATCCTTTCACCAGTATAGATTATTTCATACTACATCATTGATGGCTTGGAGCCTGTGGCTCAAGTGGCTAAGGCGCCAGCCACATACACCTAAGGTGGTGGGTTCGAATCCAGCCTGGGCCTGCCAAACAATGATGGCTGCAACCAAAAAATAGCCAGGCGTTGTGGTGGGCGTCTGTGGTCCCAGCTACTTGGGAGGTGGAGGCAGGAGACTCGCTTGAGCCCAGGCATTGGAGGTTGCTGTGAGCTGCAATGCCTCAGCACTCTGCCCAGGGGAACAGCTTGAGGCTCTGTCTCAAAAAAAAAAAAAAGAGTCATACTACATCATCAAGAAAAGGACTGGAAAAATTTTTGATGACCCAAAGAATTGGGGAGAAGAAAAAGTAAAATGTGGAGCACCGTGGACCTGTCAGCAATTAAGGAACAAAAGTAATGAAGATTCACATAAACTTTGGTATTTCCTACTGCAAGAAAGAAACATGCTTTTCACCCTAGAGCAGGAGGCCAGGAGGTGGAGATTGCCAATGCCAAGTCCAGAGTGGAAGGCAATAGATTGCATGGATGCATTAGATAAAGTTGTCCAGAAAGAGAAGATGCTCTAAAACTTCTTCAGACTGGTCAAGAAAACACTAGACTTGGAGAAGAGACATCTTTGGAAGAATCATCTGGCACAAGTTCAAGCAGGGGCCTATACCTTGGTACCTAAATAAGATATAGTAAGAAACGATTGTTTGCAATGCCTTATGTGTGGAACGTTTTATCAGACTGGGACTTGAGAAGGAAGCTGGCATCAGAGCAAGGAAGAAAAGTCTGGAGAAAAAGAAAGACTAATTTCTTCCGAAGAAGTTTCCATATCTTTCTAAAGCCCAGAAGACAGTCTTGCCTAAGATGTCTGCACTCTTGAATTTACCATTTTGACTTTCTTACATAATAGTCTATACCCAAAAGTAACCTCAGCAGCTGGTTCAGCGGCTAGGGCACCAGCCGCGTATACCAGAGCTGGCAGGTCGAATCCAGCCCAGGCCTGCCAAAGAACAATGAAAACTATAACCAAAAAAATTGCCAGGTGTTGTGGTGGGCGCCTGTAGTCCCAGCTACTTGGGAGGCTGAGGCAAAAGAATTGCTTAAGCCCAAGAGTTTGAGGTTGCTGTGAGCTCTGATACCACAGCACTCTAGCCAGAGTGACAGCTTGAGACTCTGTCTCAAAAATAAATAAATAGGGCGGTGCCTGTGGCTCAAAGAAATAGGGCAACAGCTCCATATGCCAAAGGTGGCAGGTTCAAACCCAGCCCCGGCCAAAAACTGCAAATAAATAAATAAATAAATAAATGTGTTACCTGTGTGATTTATAAAGAAAAAAAAGAACTGTAAAAAGTCAAAAATAGCTTAAACAATTTTAAGGAAAACAAGGTGAAAGTACTTTATCTATTATACATTAAGACTTATAGAAAGATCTGGGCATGGTAACATGTGCCTGTAATCTCAGCTACTGGGGTGGCTGAAGTGGTAGGATCACTTGAACCCAGGAGTTCAAATCCAGCCTAGACAACATAGCAAAACCCTGTCTCCAAACAAAAAACAACTCCCCCCCAGATTTATAACATTTAAAATCATTATAATTAAGATAACAGAGGAATTAAGTATCATTAAGGTATTGTAACTAAGATAACACCAGGGGTGACAATCAGGCTAATATAATACAGATCCTAGAAACAGACCCACATGTACACAGTTAATTTACAATAAAATGGCATTGAAAAGCAATGGAGAAATTATGACCTTTTCCATAACTAATAGTGGGACAATTGGTAGCCACTTAGGAAATTAAAAAAACATAATCACTACCGAAGACAGTAGTTCTCAACCTTCCTAATGCTAAAGTAGCTAAAGTAGCAACGGAAATAATTTTATGGTTGGGAGTCACCACAACATGAGGAACCGTATTAAAGGGTCGCGGCACCAGGAAAGTTGAGAACCACTGATCTAAGATCACATACAACATAAATTCCAGATCTATATTTGGAACATAAAATAATGAAGGTTTTGGAGGTAATATATGAAGATATTTTTTGCTTCTTTAAGAAGACAACATATGAGAAATAGATCTTAAACAGACAAAAAATAGGAAATACAGGTAAGTTTAACTATCTTAAAATGAAGACTGCTGCCTCCAATGTTCACTAACCCTAAACTATTCACAGTCTTTTGTCGGTCCCTACCAGTTCCCTGCTCTGAAAGATCCATTTTAAACCAGTGGAACCCTTACCCCCAAATTCCTATAATCCTCCTTTTGAATCATAATCAAGACGTAGTATCAAGTTTATGTTCTTCGTTGTTATAGTAGTTTTAAGAAGTTTTGTTTAATTAACAGGTTTCTTTAGTGATCTTTTGGGGGGGGGTATAACAACTGATAGTCCTTCTGTCTTTGAGATATATACTAAAATCTTTATAGATGAAATTATATTTTTGACATCCGCCCCCAAATTAATTCAATAAAATAGAGAAAGTAGATCAATAAATCATAAATTGTCAATGCTGAATAATTATACATGAAAATTCACTAGACTATCCTGTCTACTTTTGTTCATGTTTTAAATTCTCCATAATAATAAACGAGTTAAGTCTCTTTTCATAGTCTTCAAGAAGGGATGCTCATTAAGGTCACAATCAAGTTATACTATTCGACTATGATTTCCTGGCTTATAACCAGAGACTCTAGTCAAATACACCCTAAGTTATGCTGGATTTTACAGTCTAGCCACTGATAGAAGGTAGGGAACAGCAGAGTGGTTGTAGATTTGAGAGAAATAATTCTTTTTAAATTAGAACACCCCTAATGTAGAACTAAGGATACATATCATTAACTTAAATTTGGCATTTAATCTTGGTTAAAACAAAGAAGGGAGAGAGAATATATTCTGTGTTTTCTACTTTATTTCTTTAGAAGTGCAATGGTGTTACAGTGAGCTAAATTTTTAGTTATGCTTAGATGTGCTCCCTCCTACACTCTACTGTGGAAAAATGAAGCTTATTCTTTCTTAGAATCCTCAACCTTGAAACTGATCAATATTAGGATCCCATACACACCCAGGAAGATGCCCGATTTGAGGTTTTGAATAGCTATTCATATAAGTTGACTTTTCTGTGCATTTGTACTGGGGAGGATCCAGTTCAGGTTGATGTCCTGGGAACCAGTGAGGCTCTCGCTTAAATCCTAAGTGGGAAAAAAAGAAGAGAAGACACATGGGAACAATTAATAGCAAGGAGTTTTAATAACTGATCTCACCCTTATTTCTGAGGGACTAGCCAGTAAGTACTGTCAAAATTGAGAAAAGATAAAAAACATTCATTCATTCACTTATTCACCCATTCGGTTTACTTTTATTTGCATCCCTTCTATGTACTAAGCACTGAGTTAGCTCTGAAATGGTAAGAATTAAAAAGAATAGTCTACATACTATGGGTTGAAAGTGGCATTTTGTTGTTGTAGCTTGTATCGTAAGTTGTTTCAAAGTAGTGTCCAAACTGGAAAGAAAAATTAATAGATTAAGAATCTAGCAGTCTATATCTAAGTCAGGAAATAAAGGATAGCATGACATGAATTCTAACAGGTCCTGTCATATTTTAGATGGACTAGAGGTCTGTATGTTGTTAATCTATGCGCTTGTAACTTTCATATCCTTTGTATGTTTATTTGCTTAGGAAAAATTTAAGGACAAGCATCAGATAAATGACAAGTCTAGATAGGCCAATATCAGGGGTGAACCCAGCCTGAGTCAGAAGACATTAATTATTTCTGTGGCTTAACAGATAAAGTCCAAACAGAAGCAAAATAAAAAGAGTAACCCCCATCACTTTGATACCTTACAGATAATAATAATATACAACTTGATGGTAAAGTGGGACAGGTGTGTCCAGCTGCCCTAACCACTTCACTGAACAGAAGCCTAAGAGAGCACTGTCCTGCAAGTTAGATTCCTGCCTTTCAAATGGCCACAGGCATTTCTTTTGCTAAGAGTGGCAACAAAAGAAGAGAAAATCAGATTACCTGGGAAGGCAAGGGTTTGGGCTGTACAACATTCCTTAGGTCATATCTTTCCTGGTTCCAGTTGCCTATCAGGGTACGGTTTGAATAGGAATTCTCATTAGTGGTACATCTCCATCCATACTGAAAAAACTTGGACAAAGAATTCCAATCTGTCCACACTTCACCATGGCCATCTGCATTAATGAGGCTGCCATAGTGTGGGTTTGTGAGGAAACATGCGAGGTTCTGTGTCTGGAAAAAGACAAAAGTAGAAAAAAGGCTTAATGCACCAAACAGACGAAAGGCATGTCTTTCCAACTCTCTGCTTTACACAAGCACGACTTATTAATGACCCAGGCTTTCCTCCAGATTTAATTGTTGTGGTTGTATCTTCCTCTCCAGGCCTTTGAATCCTTTTATCTAATCTCTCAACCAGCTGCAGTGATTACTATAGAGACTAAATGCCCTCCCTCAAAAAAAAAAAACAGGAAAACCTTCAATACCCCCAATACTATATGAAGAACTAGCTACATGTTTAGACAATTTAAGAGGTTTTTTTTTGAGACAGAGCCGCAAGCTGTCCCCCTGGGTAGAGTGCCATGGCTTCACTGCTCACAGCAATCTCCAACTCCTGGGCTCAAGCGAGTCTCCTGCCTCAGCCTCCCAAGTAGCTGGGACCAGAGGTGCCCGCCACAACGCCCGGCTATTTTGGGGTTGCAGCCATTATTGTTGTTTGGCGGGCCTGGGCTTGATTCGAACCCACCACCTTAGGCGTATGTGGCTGGCGCCTTAGGCACTTGAGCCACAGGCACCGAGCCCAATTTAAGAGTTTTTAAGGATTAATGGTATTGCTATAGTCAAACAGAATATGTAGAACTGAGAGGTGAATAACTAGACAACACAATAAATGACCACTGAATAATTTCCTTTTATCTAGGCCCAGCTCAAGTGCCTTCCCTGAAGTTAACTTCTCTCTTCTTTTATCTCACACAGAACTTACTACCATATCTTCATCGTATTTATAACTTTCTACCATATGTTTGAGTTCTGAGTCCACTGAACTATATACTCCTTGAGGACAGGATGTATGTTTTATTAATTTTTGTACCCTTTTGCCCACCCTCCCAATCAATAGTGGTTTCCATATACCAGACGATCAACGATCAACTATTTTCTTTTTTTCCAGAAAATGAGTCTGGTCCCCTGGCTTAGGAGCAAGGTGATGATACCTCCTCTGAAGAACAGTAACGTGGTGCAAAGGCTGAGTTGTTTGAAGAGCTCAGAAGAGAGAGACAGAAATCCTTATATAATTGTTCCATGTTTTTTAAAGGATGTCACCACACTTGGCTTTTCTAGTTCTTCAAGCAAAGAAAGAGTGCAGATCATTCAGATTTCCAAGCCTAAGTGGCCATGATTTGGGAGTCACTGCCCACCTGCTTTCCCACAGTCAGAGAAAAAACTAGTAAGGTAGCATTAAAGGATGGCATCTCAGGTAAATGCCCTCACACCATCCACCTTTGTGAAGATAGGTGCCTGCACTGATGTCACTTAACAGCATGATGACTATAGTTGTCATGACACTCAGTAACACTTCTTGAATAAGTGTAGGAGATTGAAGCACCCAACAGACTGGTGACATCCATGTCACTGTCTCTAAAACTGGAATGACAGACACTGCCATACACTTAGTTGTCCAAGCCAGAAGCCCTATGGCTTATCTTTGACTCTGCCTTCTCTTTCAACATTCTTTCAATCACTAGGTCTTGTTGATTTTTGAATCAGTCTACTATTCCGTATTCTCACTGCCAGGTTCCTACTTAGATCAGTATTAGCTTCATCACTATTTCTTCCAATTCTATCTCGCCATCAGCCTTGTTCCCTTACAATCCTTGCTCCATAAGAACTTATGAAAATGAAAGTCATCTTCCTATTTAAATTTTTTCAGGTCAGGGGCAGTGGCTCATGCCTAGAACTCTGGGAGGCTGAGGTGGGTGGATTGCCTGAGTTCACAGGTTAGAGACCAGACTGAGTCAGAGTGAGAACCCTGTCTCTAACAGTAGCCAGGCATGTGGTCCCAGGTACTAGGGAGGCTGAGGCAAGAGAATCTCCTGAACCCAAGAATTTGAGGTTGCTGTGAGCTATAATGCCATAGCACTCTACCCATGGCCACAAAGTGAGACTCTGTCTCACAATAAATAAATTAAAAATTTTCAGTAGCTCAGGCTGTTAAAATGGCTAACAAAGCTCCACATGACCCTGCTTAACTCTTCTGTGTCGTCTGTTACCCACTCTCTTCGTCTGTGTTTTTGCCAAACTCAATTATTCTGTTTTTCCATCACACTTTTGCATATATCGTTCCTTCTGCCTCTTCTCTCTTGACCCAGATTAAGGTATTTTATCCCCTTTAGCTTTCAACTCAGGTTCACTTCATCCAGGGGCTCTTCCCACTTCACCCCTAAACTCGGTGAGGTTCCCTTTCTGTGAGTTTTCACACCACCCCGGATCCTTCCCCTCATAGCACACATCCCACTCTATCTGAGTTGCCTCTTTTCCTGAGTGCATTTTCCACGAAGCTATAGGCTCAGTGAAACCATAGGCCACATATTGTTCATCCATATAGCTAACCACCCTCACAGGGGCCTGGCACGTAACGGACAGTAACACTTCTTTCACCTGGAGATATTTTGAGCAGCAGCAGCAGAGACAATGGGATTCAGCCATTTCGGACGCTATGACGGCAGGTACAAACTCCTCTGTGTTAGAAACACGCAGGATTCAGTCCAACCTTCTCCTGAGCCCCGACCCCGCCCGGTTTCTCTCACTCAGAACTCGCCTCTCCCCTCTGAGCTAGTGACTGTGACCTCACGAAGGTGTGACGAAGTCACTCAGGGTCATACTTGGGCTAGAAGGCACTTTGATCTTCCTGAAGGGACGGGAGGGTGAGCGGACAGCTAAACGAGGGTCTAGCTTTTGCACTCATGGCCATAGCCTTCCTTGGGAGTCGCTGCTCGGGTTCGTCTAGACAACGGGTCTCTGTGGTGCGTCATCACCTAGCGACGGGAAGAGGGGGAGCGGGTAGAGACCTGCTAAGGAAGTGACGTCAGAAATGAGCGCAGCGAAGAAGGAAAGAGGGAAGCAGGGGGAAGCCATGGGCCCTCGACGCCTCCTGTTGGTTGGGGAGGGGAATTTCTCCTTTGCCGTAGCTCTCAGCAGGACCCTGGACGCGAGTACTAGTCTAACTGCCACCTGCCTCCCGGGCCTGGTGGACTTGGCCCGGGATCCAGTGGCCCAGGAGAATCTGCAGCGCCTGCGCGAGCGAGGTAGCAAGGCCGGCCCCTCCGCGAAGCCACGCCCAGCTGCCAGCTCCTCCCCGCAAAGGTTGGGGGGATGTAACCCACGCGGGGATTGCTTTTTATCATCCCTTGGATATTCGCACACTGCCTGCTGTGTGACTGTATAGCTGGGCTCGTTTGCGCGGTTTAGATTAGGAAGAATTTTCTGTGGTCTTAAGACATCCTTCTGTCTATATTTCGCGCCTCCAAACTCTTTGCCAGGTGCCGAGGTTCGTTTTGGTGTTGACTGCACCCGACTGGCAGATACCTTGGAACTGCACGACAGGGGATTTGATCGAATTTATTTCAACTTTCCACACTGTGGACGCAAAGCTGGAGTAGCTAAAAACAGGGAACTCCTTGCCAGGTTTTTCCAGAGGTGAGGAAAGGAGAGCCCTCGCAAGTTAAACATTTAAGATGTCTATAACATAGTTACTGCACTATAACATTTAGTTGGGGAAATAAACGTGTGTAAGTTACTGTAATATATTTAGAAGAGAACATAAAGGTCCAGAGGAACCCACAACCTAGTTGGAAAGACAGACACATACTCCTAAATAAAGGGCAAATAGGCTGGGCGTGGTGGCTCATGCCTGTAATCCTAGCACTCTGGGAGGCTGAGGCGGGTGGATTGCTTGAACTCAGGAGTTGTAGACTAACCTGAGCAAGAGTGAGACCCATCTCTGCTAAAAATAGAAAATATAGACGGGCGTTGTGGCCCGCGCCTGTAGTCCCAGTTAATTGGGAGGCTGAGGTAAGAGGATCGCTTGAGCCCAAGAGTTTGAGATTGCTGTGAGCTGTGACAGCACCACGGGCAGTGAGCCTCTGTTCCCCTACTTCCCAAAAGAAGCGCAGTGTACTTCTTGGGTGTATTAAGGGAGGATTATTTTCTTTGTGGTAGTGCAAAATAAAGACGGCCAGTATAATTTAATGGCTAAGACTGTGGACCAAACTGCATGGATCCAAATCCTGGCCCACCACTTAACACTTGCATGATTTTAGGTTTGCTTACTTAATCTTCACCTGCTTCTGTTTTTTCATCTGTAAACTGGGGATATTAACTAACTCCTTTATCAAATTGTTGTGAACTTAAAACATTATTATTATACAAAAATGCAAGATACTATTATATTTGAGGGTCTTGTGGGTCATAGTTATCAAGAAACTTTTCACAGAGGCAGGATTTTAAACTAGTATTTGAATTGTAGAATTTGAATTTTCAAGAAGACAGTGAAGGCTCAGCACCTGTAGCTTGGTGGGAAGGCCGCCAGTCACATACACCGAGGCAGGGGGATTTGAACCCAGCCAGGGCCTACTAAACAACAATGACAACTACATCAACAACAACCAAAAAAAAAAAAATAGCAGGACATTGTGACTGGCTCCTGTAGTCCCAGTATTTGGGAGGCTGAGGCAAGAGAATTGCTTAAGCCCAAGAGTTAGAGGTTGCTGTGAGCTGTGATGCCACCCCACTCTACCTAAGGCGACATAGTGAGACTCTGTCTCAAAAAAGAAAATAATAAGGCAGTGAATAGAACTTTCAAATGGGAGAGAAACAGCCTACACTTTGCCAACATTGGTCTTTCTGTGACATAAAGATGAACAACACAAATGTCAATCAGTTGACACTCTGGTCAGCTGCTAGTATCAGTTAGTAGGTTGACCATTTAATTTATAGTCTTATTTACTTCTGGCTACTTTCCTCTGTGTTTTTGAGGTCTAATAGACCTTGTTAAATAGGTATGAGTGGGTTTTAATTTTTTCACAGATAAGCCACGTGTATGTTGCTAACTTCTTTGGTAGTTTCTACTTGAGTTTCTCTGGTAGTTTCTGATAAATGGCTGTTTTTTTCCCCCTCCATTAGTTGTGCAGATGTTCTTGTAGAGGACGGAGAAGTCCATGTGGCATTGTGTAGAGGACAAGGCGGGACTCCTGCTGATAAGCCCCAGAGAGAATGGCACAACAGTTGGCAAGTGGTTGCCATGGCAGCTTTAGGGGGGCTCATTTTAAGTGATGTGCATCCCTTCAGCTGTGAGGCTTTGCCAGGGTACAAATGCACTGGATATAGGTAAGTATAACATAGGCCTTCTCTTAACAATCTCTCTCACTATGATTGAAAATAAGAATTTTCTATCACGGTGAGACAAATTTAGCCCCTAGAAATACTTAGTTTTTTAAAAAAATGTCAGGCACAATTATAAGAGGGACTTTAACAAATGCAATCACTGTAACCTAATTCTGTGTATCCTCAATGAATCCCAAACAATAAAAAAAAAAAAGAAAAGAAAAATGCCAAATTAATATGAGGGTACAAATGTCTTGGTTGCATTGTTTTCAGTTCAAAGGTAAAGTTCAAGTTGTAATTGAGCCCTTTGCCCACGGGTGGTGGCCGTGGTGGTGGTGGTGCTGAACACCCTCACATTGTGCGCATTAGGTGAGATCCTACCAATTGCCCTCCCTCTTCCTCTTCCCTTCTCCTTCCTCTCCCCTACCCCTTGCTAGACTATGGTGGGTGTCCATAAAGTTCGTGTGCACTTAAATTGCACACAAACTTAATGGACACCCTGTATTTGAGGTTTTTTTTTTCATGTGGCGTGTTGTTATTTATATATTGGTTTTATGTTAGTATTGAGTACATTGGATACTATTTTTTCCTATTATTATTATTTTTTTTTTTTTGCAGTTTTTGGCCGGGGCTGAGTTTGAACCCACCACTTCTGGCATATGGGGCCAGTGCCCTACCCCTTTGAGCCATAGAGGCCACCCTTTTTTCCTATTATTAAGATACTTTACTAAGAATAATGTGTTTCAGCTCCATCCAGGTAAACATAAAAGGTGTGAAATCTCCATCTTTTCTTATGGTTGAATAGTATTCCATGGTATACATAGGCCACAGTTTGTTAATCCATTCGTGGGTTGATGGGCACTTGGGTTGCTTCCACATGTTGACAATTGTGAATTGAGCTGCAATAAACATTTTGGTACAAATGTCTTTGTTGTAAAATGATTTTTGTTATTCTGGGTAGATACCTAGTAATCAGGTTGTGGGATCAAATGGAAGGTCAACTTTTAGTTCTTTGAGAATTCTCCATAATTCTTTCCATAGAGATTGTGTTAGTTTACACTCTCACCAGCAGTGAAGTATTCCTTTCTCTCTATATCCATGCCAGCATCTGCAGATTTGGGACTCTGTGATGTGGGCTAATCTCATTGGAGTTAGGTGACATCTCAGAGTGGTTTTTTTTTTTTTTTTTTGAGACAGAGCCTCAAGCTCTCACCCCGAGTAGAGTGCTGTGGCATCACAGCTCACAGCAACCTTCAACTCCTAGACTTAAGTGATTCTGTTGCCTCAGCCTCCCAAGTAGCTGGGACTACAGGCGCCTGCCACAACACTTGCTATTTTTTTTGGTTGTAGCTGTCAAAGTTGTTTGATGGGCCTGGGCTGGATTCAAACCCCCACCAGCTCAGGTGTATTTGACTGGAGCCTTAGCCGCTTGAGCCACAGGCACTGAGCCCTCAGAGTGGTTTTGATCTGCATTTCTCTGATGATTAGGGATGATGAGCATTTTTTCATGTGTTTGTTGGCCATTCATCTGTCATCTTCAGAGAACTTTCTGTTCAAGTGCCTTGCCCACTTAGAAATGGGGTTGCTTTCTCTTTTCTTGTTGATGAATTTGAGTTCTCCATAGATTCTAGTTATCAGCCCTTTGTAAGATTTGTAGCATGCAACTATTTTCTCCCATTCCAAAGGCTGCTTGCTTAGGCTGTGCCTAGAAAGACTTTCTGTAATAACGGCAGACTTCATACTCGTGTCTGTTTTGTCAGGAGTCAAGATAAGTCCTTTCACATAGAAGGTGCTTTGAATCATGTCTTCACCCGGAGCTTACCCTTTGAATGTTCTCAACCCAGAATCTTCAGGATCAAACTAGGTGACCAGTGGTTTTCCTTTCTAGAACCAGAAGCACTTGTAGGAAAGTTGAACAGGTAACCTGTTATTTGCTGGAAATTGCTTCCATCTGTAATTGTATCCTGACGTTCTCATAGCAACCATATATTGAGTGGATAGTACATAAGTTATTAGAGATGCTGGTGTTTTGATAATTGTCAGTCAGTATGGCCTCCTCAACCCTCTTTATAATTGAAAATTGTCTTATTTCTTAATATATTGTAGGGATGGTGGCTGTCAGAGTTCTGAAACACATAATATCTCTCCTTATGGTAGATTATTTCATTGCTTCCTTTCAAGATTGACTTGAGGATAATTCTTTTCTATATAGTTATTCGTATTTTTAATTTTAATTACATTATATTTATTCATTATTTTAACACTTGATCTTAGCCAAAAGGCTGAGAAGCAATTATTTGTTATTTTAAGTTAGAATTTTTTTTTTATGTGTTTAAGCAGGGGTTTCCTGGAAGCACCTTCATGTCATCCTATCAAAACCATAAATGAGAAACTCATTGCTGAATTGGGCAAAATTTTCCCTCTAAAAAGGCTGAAGCATTCCTTTCCCTTGCTGCCACAGGAAGGCACCAGTGTTCTCCCTTCCTGGAACTGTGACATTCTGTCAACTGCCTTTTGGATTAATCTCCATGAAGATAACTCAAATTCTGAGTCCCTGATTGGTGGGAGAACGCAAGATATGGAGGACTTGTTAGTGTCATTTTCAGAACTCAGCCTCCCCAAAAGTCTTGGAAGAGATGGTAAGGAAGAAGCTCATGGAAGAATTTCTGGCCAGGCCAAGGTCTGCCTTAGACCCTCTCTTCTAGTTCACGTTCAGGCTGTCATCCAAGCACCAGACTTCCTCCCAGGTTCTCTGCATGTCCTCAGTGGGCCTGTCTTTCAGAAGTGCCGCATTTTGCCTTTTACAATGCCAGCATTTCATGAGACTTTACTTATCCTTGGGTTTAATCAAAGTCTGAAGGAAGACTATCTTCAGTCGCTGCTGGATCACCTGAAGAATGTCCTAGATACCCTTCTGGCCCAGACAATGCTGGAGGGCTGTAGGCTAAGCAATTCAGTAGAATTTATCCTTCAGCCAAATGGAAGAGATTATATGATTTGTGTGAAGGCTTATAATTTTGATCCAGATTGTGCCCAGGACTTAATTATTGGGTCTGTCACTACATCTGCTACAAGCATTATACATAAAGACCAGTGTTTTGTGTTTGTGTCTATGAACTTGGACTTATTAGCCATGCTTGTCTGGAGTATCTCTGACTGGAGAATGTTATGGACCTTTGATAACCGTTTCCTAAATAGTTTTGTCCCTGGAAAAGTAGAACCCTTTAAAAGCTATTCCCTGTATCCTCCATGCTATGTACATGATATTAGTTTTTGGTTAGATGAGAAGAAAGGATTTGATGAACTTGAGTTTCACACTGTGGCCCGAGCAGTGTCCCAGGACACTGTTATATCCATAAGATTCCTTAATTGTTTTCAGCATCCAAAGACTGAACAGGTCAGTCTCTGCTATAGATTGACTTACCAGACCTGTGACAAGGCACTCACCAAGCAGCAGGTAACATCAATGCAGTCCCAGTTTAGGAAGGAGATTCAACAACGACTACATGTTACACCTCGATAGTTTAATAAATTCTTTTCCATAGTGTGCTCCTTCAGTGGTGTGGATGTGGATAAAAATGACCAACTTGCAACCAGCAGTTCTTTTTGGACTGTGTTTTTTTTGTAAAATTGTTTACATTGTGACTAGAGCCACTGTTGGCTGAAGCTAAAAATGCCTTGACTCTATCACTTAAGCTTACAGGGTCCATGCGATTGATGATGTTTGGATTTGGACAGCCTTTTGATCCTGAGTGATGAGTGAGATGACAGACAGAATGGCATCTTGTACTTTAGATGCTGTATTGCTGAAGAAAAGGTAGAGCTTAAGCGTCTTGTCAAATATAAATATGTTTTCCACACTGTCAATTCCTCTTCTCTCAATTCCATTGTATCATTTCATTAAATAACTTTGTGAGAGGAGTTTTTACAGTCACACCAACATTTATTAACTTGCTAAATTGTAAGTATTCAATAATTAATATTGGTTATTTAGTAATAATAATATTATTATTGGGTGGTGCCTGTGGCTCAAAGGAGTAGGGCACCGGCCCCATATGCTGGAGGTGGTGGGTTCAAACCCAGCCCCACCCAAGAAAAAAAAAACTGCACAAAAAATATTACAATTATCATCCTATCCTACCATCATCATAATTTCTTTTCCTCTGGTTGACTATTATTTAATTCATGAAACTAATAAGTGACAAATTTAGTGTTAACATTTGGGTCTATGTTCTTTCTGTTATTTCTCCTTCCTTAGTCTTTTTCAGTAGTAATCATTTAACTGTGATTAACTTGAAACTTTTTTGCGGCCCCCCCCAGATTTGGGGGCCTTCTGTGATTGTATCTGTAAGGGACACTGGGAAATTGGGTCAGCCCAGGACTCTGCAGAATGGGGTACTCTAAAGTGAATTAATGTATGTCCCTGTTAACAGGCTCCACAGATGGGAATTATTTTGTGACCTCTGTGAAGGAAATGACTGTCTTATTTATTTTTGGAGAAAAGCATGTGAAAAGGCAAGAATGGATATAAAGACGCAAACTAGGCTCGGCGCCTATAGCTCAACCGGCTAAGGCGCCAGCCACGTACACCTAAGGTGGCGGGTTCGAATCCCCAGCCCGGACCCGCCAAACAACAATGACAGCTGCAACCAAAAAATAGCCGGGCATTGTGGCGGGTGCCTGTGGTCCCAGCTACTTGGGAGGCGGAGGCAGGAGACTCGCTTGAGCCCAGGAGTTGGAGGTTGCTGTGAGCTGTGATGCCACGGCACTCTACCCAGGGGGACAGCTTGAGGCTCTGTCTAAAAAAAAAAAAAAAAAAGACGCAAACTAGGAGGTTATTGTGATAATGACGACCTGGACCAGCATTGCATAATACTTAGAAGGACTTGCTGATGAATTAAATGTGTGTTGATGCGGGAGGTGTGGGATTAAAGACTGGGGAATCAAGCAGGATTCCTAGGTTTTTGACCTGAGTACCTAAAATAGAACTGTCATTAACTGGGATGGGAAAACTGCCACAGGAGTAAGTTTGGGGGGTAAGATAAAGAATCAGGGATTTCTTGTGTCTTGCTGAGCTCTCCACATAGACTATTTGCTAGTTGAGGTCAGGTAACGGTGATTTATACCTTTCTTCTATCTCCAGTACCTGAATGAGGTAGCACTGGAGCTGGATCTTAAGACAAGAGTAAGGAGGTGGGCTGGGTGTGGTTGCTCACATCTGTAATCCTAGCACTCTGGGAGGCCGAGGGGGGGCAGATTGCTTGAGCTCAGGACTTGGGAGACCAGCCTGAGCAAGCGCATGACCCTACTACTAAAAATAGAAAAACTACTAAAACCAGAAAAAGTAAAAATAGAATAACTGGGTGGCACATGCCTGTAGTCCCCTCAGCTACCAGGGAGGATGAGGCAAGAGGATTGCTCAAGCCCGAAAGTTTGAGGTTGCTATGAGCTATGACGCCATGGCACTCTATCCATGGCGACAGAGTAAGGCTCTGCTTCAAAAATAAACAAACAAACAAATAAATGTAAATTGGGGAAATGAGGCACGATTTGTGTAGGGGAGTGGAACATGCTGAATAGGGAAGACAGCGAAAGAAGAATGCCCAGCGTTGTAAGTAGGTGGAAGGGTCAGCCATGATGGGAAAAGTCAAGTCTCGGGTACTATATCTTTGCTACTACGGGATTTGCCCCAACTGCCCAATAACATCATAATTTAGTCCCTTCTGCGCATGTCAAGGTCTTTTGTCCCTTGGCGGACACCGTTTGCCAGCAAAGCTATGTCTCCGCGCTTGCCGACTTCCTAGGGTGCCGAATCTCACCTTTTCCTCCCAAGCTTGCCATGGCTAGCCGAGGAGCTCGGCAGCGCCTGAAGGGCAGCGGGGGTAGCGGGGGCAGCGGTGGGGACACGGCCCCGGCCGCGGACAAGCTGCGGGAGCTGCTGGGCAGCCGAGAGGCAGGCGGCGCGGAGCCCCGGACAGAGTACGTGTGCGGGCGCGGCGGGGGCGTGGTCGGCCGGCGGCTGGGCACAGGGCTGCCCCCGTGGGGGTCTCGCAGGTGCTGCGCTGGGCTTCCTGCGGCCCGGCCTCCCCATCGCCGGTCCAGGCTCCTCTTCAGCTAGGGCTGCTCTTGGCAGGTTAATGCTGAGTCTTCGCCCAGCTTTAGATCACCTCCACCTCGGGTACCTTCTCTCTTGTAAAGATAGCTGAGATGCTTCTGCCTCAGCGCCCGAGCAGGCTGGCTTGGTGTGGTGTTAGCCTGGGCAGAGGCTCTGTGGGAGATATTGGCAGGAGCAGAGAGTAAACCTTTACAGCTGTTTCTCATAGCTTCTTTTTATTCCCCCCACAAGGGCCAACTCTTTACTTTTATGTGGGCCACCCCAACCTCCAGCACCTGCTGCCGCAACCATCTCTCCCCAAGCCTGGAAGACTACATGTTAGGACTGCATTAAAGGGGCTGTCGGCATATGGAATTGGAGGAGGTTATGTACCTTGCTCATATGAGAGCTCTATTCATTTGAACTTAGGGTAAATGAATAAAGCCGTGGAGAGTGATGACCTTGTTAAGAGAAGAAAGAAAAGGCGAGTGAGAGCTTTGTGGCCTTCAAGTGAGTGATTAGTTTGGTTGGGATGGAGTGTCATGTATGCAACAAGCTAAAGTGCATGAGTTAACTTACTCCTTAAAAGTAGAAAGTAGATAGACTGACTAGGTCATTAAAGTCTAGAAGGAAGATCACTTGAGCCCTGAGTTGGAGTCCAGCGTGGGCAAAATAGCGAGACCACACACCCCTATCCTTCCTTTGAAGATTGCTTTTAAGTCTGAATTCATTCTTTATTCGTTTTGCTGAAAAAGAACAACTAGTCAAAGTGAACTAACAGTTCACTTATTTAGGAGAATACGTTAAGTGTTTTAGTCCTTCTAATTAGGAGGTCCTGACACTTTTTTTTTTTTTTTTTTTTGGCCTCTGAACAGGTTATCTGGGAACAAAGCAGGACAAGTCTGGGCGCCTGAAGGATCTACTGCTTTCAAGTGCCTGCTTTCTGCAAGGTTATGTGCCGCTCTGCTGAGCAACATCTCTGACTGTGATGAAACATTCAACTACTGGGAACCAGTGGGTGATTTTAGTATTCTTTTTTCATTATTGATTTTGCTGCTTGGTAATTATTACTAATCTAGACAAACGATACGAATGTGACTATTAGTAAAATAGTGTTTTCACTTTTGTATTCTTTTTTTTTTTTTTGAGACGGAGGCTCAAGCTATCCCCCTGGGTAGAGCGCCATGGCATCACAGCTCACAGCAACCTCCAACTCCTGGGCTCAAGCGAGTCTCCTGCCTCAGCCTCCCAAGCAGCTGGGACCACAGGCGCCTGCCACAATGCCTGGCCATTTTTTTGGTTTCAGCCATCATTGTTGTTTGGTGGCCCGGGCTGGGGATTCGAACCCACCACCTTAGGTGTATGTGGCTGGCGCCTTAGCTGCTTGAGCCACAGGCACTGAGCCTCACTTTTGTCTTCTAAGATGATGATTTACCTACTGTTGAAGGCTGTAGAAAATTTAGCTGGTTTACTCAAAGGTGTAATTTGTAATTTTCTTTTAAATTTTTAAAAATAAAAATAAGACTGGGTGCGGTGGCTCATGCCTGTAATATAACACTCTGGGAGACTGAGGCAGGAGGATCCCTTGAGCTCAAGAGTTCAAGACCAGCCTGAGCAAGAGCAAGACCCCATCTGTACTAAAAACTAAAACATTTAGCAAGGCATGGTGGGTGCCTGTAGTCTCAGCTACTTGGGAAGCTGAGGCAAGAGAATCACTTGAGCCCAAGAGTTTGAGGTTGCTGTGAGCTATGACACCACGGCACTCTACCCAGGGTGACAAAGTGAGACTCTGTCTCAAAAAAAAAAACCCAAAAAATATAAGAGAAAAGATGCTTAATGTTGGTAGGGTAAAGAGAATGTAAGATTTAGCTTTTCTCTTTTGACTAAATAAGCAGAGGATAAACTTCAAGCTTTCAGCTTTGACCAACCAACAATCTTATAGAATTTATAATATATTAATATTTTTATTATTAATATTTAATACTGGAGGGCGGCACCTGTGGCTCAAAAGGGTAGGGCGCTGGCCCCATATGCCGGAGGTGGTGGGTTCAAACCCAGCCCTGGCAAAGAAAAAAGAAAAAAATATTTAATACTGGGTCATTTTGATATTTTAAAATCCATTTATTGAAAATCTTGCCGAGAATGTCAACATTTTTGTGTGCCTTTGTCTTTTTAATGTTTTTATTCAGAAAATTCACTTGCATACTCTTAACAGGGATTTTTGGCCAGTGTAACCCTGCATTCATCTGTTTTTGTACTTTTAGACACACTACCTCATCTATGGGGAGGGATTTCAGACGTGGGAATATTCCCCAGCGTACGCCATTCGCTCCTATGCTTACCTGTTGCTTCATGCCTGGCCAGCTGCATTTCATGCAAGAATTCTACAAACTAATAAGGTAAGGGAAGACCTATCTGGAAGCCGTGACAACCGGTTAAGGGGTGAGTCTCTGGAATAGTTTTGAGGAAAGGACAAAACAGATTAGTAGTAAGAGGGGACTTTTTTTTTTTTGAAGAAGAATCATTTATTCATTCATCATTCAACAAATATTAATGGAGCAACTTTTATTTGGTAGATACTGTGTTAATTGCTGTGGCTTTAGCAATGACCAAGTTCCTAATTTTATGCAACTTACAGTTTATTAGTCATGATGGACATTGAACAGTAATTTTTTTTCCTTAGAGGTTTATTTAATAGTTTGCCTATATTACATATGCATTTTAAGAAAGGAAAAACTGCATTAAATTATAATGAAATTGTGTAATACTCAATGTATACTGATTACAGAAGATGAATACATGTCATCTTTGAGTACCTGCAATTGCAGAAGTCACCCTCAGACAGTGCCAAAGAATGTATAACATTATAAGAAAGGAAAGAACTGTATTAATTCATAATACTCAAGTCATGTTTGACTTTTGCAGCTACAAGAGGTGCTTAGTGTGAACAGTAATTCTAAACGCAATGGGGTCTTAAGGAGGAAAAGTACAATGAGTGATAATTGGAATAGCGTATTAGGAGGGGCTAATATAAAGGCAGGTGTTTATGGGACCTAACCTGATTAGCTTTTAGAAATTTGACTATGAAGTGTTTTGTCATGGATTTCTTTGGGGTTATCCTGTTTGGCGTTTTCTTTTGCCAAATTTGGGAAGTTTGTAGCTGTTATTTTTTGAGTACTTTTCCAGCTCTGCCCTGTTTTTTTCCTCTTTTTTTGGAACTTCAGTGGTATGTCAAGTCTTTTATTATTAGTTCCACAGGTCTCTGAGGCTCTGTTCATTTTTATTTTCAATCCGTTTTCTCTCTGTTGTTCATATGGAGTGGTTTCTATTCTTCTGTTTTCCAGTTCACTGATTTTTTTTTCCTTTATCCCCTCTGTTTCCTATGCCCATCTTTCCATTTTATTATTTTAAAATATAGTCTAGTTCTTTCTTTTCTTTTATTATTATTATTATTTTTTTTTTTTTTGAGACAGAGTCTCACTATGTTGCCCTTGGTAGAGTGCTGTGGCATCAAAGCTCATAGCAACCTCAAACTCTTATGCTTAAGCAATTCTCTTGCCTCAACCTCCCAAGTAGCTGGGACTACAGGTGCCCACCACAATGCCCGGCTATTTTTTGGTTGTAGTTGTCACTGTTGTTTGGCAGGCCTGGGCTGGGTTCACACCCGCCAGCTCTGGTGTGTGTGGCTGGTGCCCTAGCCGCTGAGCTACAGGCGCAGAGCCAATATATTCTATGTCTTTACTGAGACTTTCTGCTTTTTCATTTTTCTGAATCATGTTCTTAATCACTCATTAAAGTATTTTTATAATGTCTACTTTGAAACTCAGATAATTCTAGCATCTCTGTCATCTTGGTGTTGGAATCTTTTGATTGACTTTTTTCATTCAGTTTGAGAATCATCATCCTGGTTCTTGGTATGACAAATAATTTTCAGTAGAAAGCTAGATATTTTAGTACTGCATTGAGACTTTGGCTTACTACTTATAGACTCAGCATGCTTTCTTTGCACTACTGTGCTCCATAGATCATATTTAAGCCTTCTGTTTTAGCTGGCTTCTTCTTCTTCTTTTTTTTTTTTTTGTACTATTTTAACTCTGCTCTCTTGTATTCCTGCTAAACAGCTGGCTTATTTTGATACTTCTCCAGCGGGAGAAAGAAGGTTGAGAGGGAGGTCTTTACCTTGTTACTGCCAAGTGTGGGTAGAACTGTAGGTTCCCTACTAGACCTCCATAACACTTGAGGAAAGGGGTTCTCTTTGGGCAGGGGTAGGAGGTCTGGCTCCCTACGAGGCCTCCACTGATATCACTCTAGCAGGTGGGGTAGGGGTACCTTGCTACTGACAGGTTGAGGGTAGGAATGGAAATCCAGGCTCCCCAGGTGGTTGCCACTAACACCATGGTAGGGGAGCTGCTCATTGCTGTCAGTGGGAATAAAAGTCCTTCAATACGTGGGTGGCAGTGGGACCACAATGCTTTCCTAGGATTTTCGGCCAGAGTAGAGTGGTTATTGTTTAATAAGGTTTTTGTTTTTGTTTTTGAGACAGAGTCTCAAGCTGTTGCCTTGGGTAGAGTGCCATGGTGTCAGCTCACAGCAACCTCCAACTCCTGGGCTCAAGGGATTCTCTTGCCTCAGCCTCCCAAGTAGCTGGGACTACAGGCGCCTGCCACAATGCCCGGATATTTTTTGGTTGTAGTTGTCATTGTTGTTTGGCAGGCCTGGGCTGGATTTGAACCTGCCAGCCCTAGCCACTACACTACAGGTGCCAAGCTTTTTTTTTTCTAAATCATATTAGGCCACCCCTTTCTTGGTCGTTTGGCCAGAGAGAACAGGCCTGGGTTGGATATTTTTGTTTGTATTCATTGGCACTTTTGGTTGCCCGCTGCTTTAGCTTTATGTCTGGAATATGCAAGACAAAAAGAAAACCCAGAGTGTTTCCCGCCATGTTGTTCTTCATGTCCCACAGTCTGTAGCCAGTCTGCCACCTTCTCTCCACTTTTCAGAGTCTTCGTAGGTCTCTTGTAATTGTAGTGTCCAGAATTTTTGTTTTGCTTAGGGAAAATAGGGGAGAAGTCCATTTTTCTTGAAGCAGAAGTTCCTAATTAAGAGAACGGAAGAATAAGTAGGAGTTGTCTACGTAGAGAAGAATGAAGATGAGGGATGAAGTTGGGAACAACAGTCTTGGAGACTGATGACTTTGGGAAGAACACCAGCAGGGCCTCCATATAAGTAACTTTAACACTTGAGAGAGAGAGGGAGTGGTGGAGTGAATTAGATAAGGCTGAGAGGGAGGAAGAGGCCAGAATTATAGAAGACCTGGCAAGAGAGTCACTTAAGCCCAAGAGTTTGAGGTTGCTGTGAGCTGTGACGTTACAGCACTCAACTGAGGGTGACAAAGTGAGACTCTGTCTCAAAAAAAAAAAAAAATTAAAACAAATGTATAGAAGACCTGGAAGATTTACTAGGGAATTAGACTGTCCTGGTTTTTCCCCCAGCTGCCTACAGTGAAACCATAAGAAGGTTTTAGATAGAAAAGAGATGTGATTGCATTTGTATTTTAGGATGATCAGAAAGGTAGCACTTTTGTAAACACTGTCCCTCCCTTTTCTACTTAGTATCTCATTTCTAATTTTTTGAGCTTGTCAGAGGAAAGATAATACAGGATAAAGGACTCAGTAGAGAACTAACAACAGGCAGTGTGTGGGGGTTGTATTTCCACATGGACGTCTCTTGTCACTTCAAGTGTGACATTTCAGCCCAGAATTCTTCCTCTCAAGTCACTAATCCCCTCACATCACTGATGTGACAGTGAGTAAAACACACAAGATAAGTCCCCTTTCCTGTTCTTACTTCCGATCTCCTTTTCTGTCTTAGTTCTCTCAGTGGGAGCCAACAGGGAGCCACTTGGCAAAGGGGAATTAGAGCTTGTTGAATCCCAGCTCCAGCATCATAATTCTGAAAAGAGTGGTTGTTGCTGAGAGAGAATGGTGATACTTGCCACCGTTAGTGACAGCTACCCCAAATGACAGCGCCTTTGTATTTTCTCCTTACAGAATTGTGTGTGAATTTCTCTGAAGCATCCACTCAGGGTGGGATGGCGCACTTAGGCTTACAGGCGTTCTGATTTTCACTGGGTTCTGCCAGACAGCTCTCCAGATGGTTATACGACTTATGTTCCCTGCAATGATACTCTAGGTGCCATCGTCCTCACATCCCAAGTACTCGATAGTTTTGACTTTCGCATTTGTGTGAGATACTTATCTTAATTGAATATCTCTGATTGCTAGTGAGGTGGAGCATTTCTTGCTATATTTATTAGTCATTCAGATTTCCCTTCTGGGAATTATATATTCACATCCGTTGCCCATTTTTCTAGTGGGTTTTCTTTTTTTTTGTTAGTTGGACTCTTTTTTTTTCATTAAATCATAAACACATAGATCATGTATATATTAAGGCATTTATGGGGTACCCTGTGCTGATTTCATATGGAATTAGGAACTCTTACATCACACTAGTTATACCTAGGTATACCTCATCTTGTTTACTTAGTTATTGTGTTAAGACATTTATACTCTATACTAATAGATACGACATGTACCCTTGCATTATGCACCATAGGTGTGATCCCACCATTTACCCTCCCTGGATCTGACCTTCCCCCTCACTTCCCATTTCCCCTCCTCCCTCCTTCATCTTGGGCCATAATTGTGATCTATTCTTCATATGAAAGTGTGAGTGATTATAAATTGGTTTCATAATATTACGGAGTACATGGGATATTTTTCTCTTTTCTTTTTTTTTTATTGAATGGTAACTATGTACATTAATGCACTTCTGGGGTACAGTGTGGGGTTTTCACATGCAATCCAAAATACTTCCATCAAACACAGCCTTCA